CATTATTTTGTTTGTATCTAAAAAATGTCCATTCATGGAAAAAAAAACAATTCCTAATATTTGTCTTCTTAAAAACTGTTTATTTCTTCAGTCATTGGAAATGGGAAGTTAGCTAATAAGTACAAAGAAATGTTCATTTTGTTAAATGGTATATTGGATTTCATGAGGACTAGTGTAGGCTAAGGTTCAATAATAATTTACCATCATTTTAAACAGTGGAATATAATAATTCATTTCAACTAATATTAGGTATGACGCTAATTTGGTACTTAATGCTGAGCACATTAGCAATTATAGTACAGTATACTATTACTTTCCAAGTTTCTGCAGTTGTTTGCATCATTATTGGTTTATTATTTCTTTTTCATTTGAAGTAGTATAACTCCAAAGAAGTTTTACTCATATCCATTTAAATATATATTCCTTTTGACAGAATCTACCCTTCCAGGGAATTATATAACTAATTCTATAAGAGTTAATAAAACAGAGGGTGTTTAAAATCACTGTACTGAATTCATTAGAAACTGAATTTCTTTCTATAAAAACAATAAACCAAAAAGAGAGCCTCAAAACTTGTCTCATTTATCAAAGTATAATTAAAATTCTATTGTCTGACTCATCACCCTTTACAGTCCAAAGACAATTTCTGTGGTACATTATTATACATTGAAATAGAACGATTGCTTTTCTAAAGCAAATGTGTAAGTGGATTCATGACGTGCTTAAAATTTTGAGTATTATCATTATAACTCCTGATTTTGCTTTATTTTCAGTAAGTTTAAAAGCAATATTTTAAAGTATTTATGAAATAGGCTCAGGAGTCCTTTGTTTAAAATTTTTTTGAGACAGGATCTCATTATGTCGTTCAGGCTGGCCTTAAACTCACTACGTAGCCTAGACTGGTCTCAAACTCAAGGAAATCCTTCTGTCTCAGCCTCCCCAGTGCTGCTTGTACCCCCATGCCCAGCTTGGCTTCAGCAATTGTAAATTAAACAGGGTGGCCAACTCTCTATCTCGGCTCAGCTTGGTCTGAGAAATTACTTAGGGCTTTTTGTTTTAAAATTCAGAAAATCCCAAGCATTTTTAGCATTAAAACCAGGTTAATCTAGGCAAAGAGGTATGTGTTGGTTACCATAAACTAGGATGAAATGATGCTGGAGTAAAGACTATTTTAGGAAAAGGAACTTTAAGAAAGTCTTTTGTTGTTTTCTCGGGTTTTAAAATTTTTTCCTCTTTCTACCTTCTTACCCAAAAGTCAAGGTAGGACAGTCTTATCTCTCCAGATCTAAAATCAAAACAACAGTAACAGTCAGTAGTCTTGGCAAAGGCAAGGAACAGTAGAGACTTGAATTCTGCATCCAAAGTTCTGGATTCAAATCTAGATGGCTAGCTTTGTCATTCATGGGCAGCTGATTCTGTGCCTCTGTTCTCAGAAACAGACAGAAGTATTAATTATAATATTCCTCTCACAGGCTTACATGAACAGTGCCTGTTATTCATTAAGAGTTGAAGGAAATTAGTTGTTTTTATTGTGATCTTGACTGTGATTAGCAACTTGGAGCAAGCCAGTATCTCTGCCAATAACAGTAACTTTGTATCTCCATTCTTAGAAGTACTTAGTTTCAGCAAGGAATGGCTTCCATCACTTAAAAAGCTCAGCTATATATTTTTTTTTATTTTCACAATTCAAGATATGTATACATAATATGACAGAAGAAAATCTTAAATTTAGGAGTGTTTCAGAAAATGTAACATCAGTGGAATGGACAAATGGATAATAAAATAGTCACAGTTCTCTTGGATGTGAACATCAAAAAAATAGCCAGTGTTATAATAAAGCTATTTTATTGAATAGCTCATTAAAATATTCTGAGATTTCATTAAGATGTGGTAATATTTATTTTCAATTCTAAGGATTGGGGGCAAAACCAAAGAGCAGATTGGAGTTTAGCGTGTCATGGTTTGGTCTAGCCAACAATGGAACTTTGCTTCTGTTAAAGCTATGACAAGAGGAGACTGTTTTGTAAAGGGATTGAGTTAATTGTGGAATTCCAGAGTGTGAGCTCAGTTACTTCAAAGTTGTATTGTTCTGAATGTAGTAACAGGAAGGCCACATCTTAGGCAGAGAAAAGGGGATTGATTAGTCTATGGCATTCCACTCCACTCCGTTCTAGTTTGGTGGTAGGCATCTTGCTAATGAGCAGAAAGTAGACTTGTACTTGATCTCTAATGTTGTAATTTAGCTGATTAACTTTATTGTGGTATGCATAGTGAAGATGATTTGTCTGTAACTGAGAGACCTTGGCTTCTCATGTAAAATTTATCTTTAGCATTTCCCAAATGCCATGCAAAAGATAGCTAAGAAAATGTTAGAATCATTTAAAAGGTTTAGATGGAAATCTGTTGTTAAAATGAAATAATCAGTCAAAAACATGATTATAAATCTTAAAATGTTTTCTTTGATTTTTTTAAGAAAGAGAAAAATCCCAGAATTTTAATTTTTGGCTAAATAATTATAAAACTTTTAAGTGAAAAAGAAATTATTTTTTCACGGTATAGGCTAACATAATATATTCTATGTCTTGAACAACTTTAAAGTGCAAGTTATATTTAACGGTCCTATCTTTTCAGCCATTTACTTTCTTTGTGTTATAACAGATTGCCGATTCTCAATATCAGATCCACCCTAGAACCTACTTTGTGTCATTAGAGTTTTATTTAAAATGAACATGAATATATCTTATAGTTGTGTGTAGTTAGGTTATTAAGTAGTGAAAAGTATTTATATTAATTTTACTGTAAAAAATCCTTTTGATGAAAATTCCCAAGTATTTCTGAAGTGTTTTTTAAATTTCTGGGGCAGAATACTTTATTTCCTATTTTTCTTTGTACATGTAGACAAACTTTCTACAAATGAAGGGGCGCTGTCTCTACTTAGTTTGTTCATAGATACTAAGTAATCTCATTTAAACCTCACATGAACTCAGAAAAACAAAATACTGTTCAGCAGTTGGCTGATGACTTTCCCTGTACATTGCTTCTAATTTATTTTTACACATGAACTCTTGGCCTCCTGGACCCTACTCATGGAGTTATAAGAAAAAGTCATTTTAGTATTAAACATTTTCCCAAGAAAGAATTCCCTCAGGTTAAATAAGAATTTGGACTTTTGCCTGGGAGAAATTGTCACGGAAGCCCTTTTTGAATGTACTCAGTTATACAAAGTCTCAGTTCTTCCACTTGGTTCCTTTTTAATTAAAACAACAATAATCCAGAACTATAATTTACTATTTATTTGTAAGTTATTATAAATGAAAATGTATATATATTACTTTCTGAAATAAATGCTCTTTTCAAAGTGTTCCTGTTGGAAAAGAGACAAATTAAGCATCTTACTTATCTGTAGTATGAGAATTAGATCATAATCTCTGTGGAAGAATGTTTAGGGTTGTGTATCCTTTATCACTTACACTTCTAATTAAAAACACATACACAAGATCAAAATGCTTGTTAAAGTGCCCCCCCTCTAGTTTTTACACTGAAAGTTGTGTATTGAAAAGCAGAAGTGAGCAAGTTTTTGAGAGACTGGTATTTGTGTCCTTGGCTATGTTAGATTCCAGTGAGTAGCTCTGCATTACAATTCAGTTTTAATTTTTCCCTCTACTTTGTTTTAGTGTTTAGGAATGGACAGATGGAGTGCTGTGATTACAGTATCGAGTGTCCAAGAATCGTTATAAAAAGGCTGCTAATAAGATATAAAACTGGTGAAGATTTAGGTAAATATAAGGAAGCTAGGTATTAAATAAATATTTTGAGGATTCTAAACATGTGTTCACATGAAGGGAGAATAACCCTTGGACCGAAAGGATGCTACCTAATTGTCACCTTTTTAGGAAGTACCGAGTGAGCAGGGATTTATCTGTGAGGGGAGCAGATGGGCCAGGTATTGGTACAGTGTCCTGTCTCCTGCAGCCCCTGTATATGCTCTCTTTTTAGAAATTTCCCCCTTCAAATTTGTGTCAGGGTTTCTTCCTTGCCAAGTAAGTAGAAAGATACATTCCCAATGGCTTGGCTGTCACGGAAGTAATATTTTTAATGTTTTCGATATGGTCCAGTTTCAGGATGAACTTTTTGGAACTTGAGCGTGATTTTCAACCCCCCCCCCCTTCTCTGTCAGACCTAGCAGACGGAAGCTGCAAGGCCCTCCAGCGAGCTCTCCGGCAGACCCTTAACTCCAGAGGGAGAATGGAGAAGCTTGAGAGGCCTTCCAGGGTCAAATCTGAGTTTGCCGCGGACAGACAGGGGAAAAGTAGCAGGAACTGGCAGTGTAGCCACGCTCGGGGTTGGGAGTGGGGCTTCAGAACCCAGTCCCTCCCCTTCTCCCAAAGGCACCTGGGTGAAAGGGGATCCCCCGAGGCACGAATCGCTCTCCGCTCCGGAGAGGCAAGTTTCTTTGCAAGCATTACCACCTGTGTGAGGCGCTCCCAGTGGGGAAAGTGGCGTGGTGGAAGCGAGAGCTCCGTCGCACCTTCCCGGAGCCTTGCTCTGTGAGGCTGAGCGGCAAAACATCTCCAGAACTCAAAGCGTTCGGCTGGATGCGGAGTCCAACCCGCCCGGTTCGTCGCCAGGATCTTAGTCCAGCATCCTCAAGACTGATACGCTCTAGAGCCGGCTGACGCCTCCCCAGTTTCCGCGGGGTCCTCTCCGTCCTCTCCCTCCCACCTCTCCACCCCCAAAGTAGGGCTCCCGCCTCGCTCCGCCCGCACAGCCCCAGCGCGCCCCGGAGCTTTATCAGGCTCCGCACTAGCACCGCGGGTTCCTTCTCAGCGCGCCCGGCGCTA